GAGTTCTGGTTCTAGCTCAACCACTCACTTGTTTTGGGTAGCTTATTTAAAATTTCTGTGCCTCAGTTTCTTCATTTGTAAAATGGGATAGTATCTATGTCATCAAGCAGCAAGAACTAAATGAGTTAATATATGTAAACGTGCTTAGAATGGGATCTGACACAGAACAACTTACAAATCTTCGGTATTGCTATTATCATCACCATTCATGTCCTGTAGGTAGCATAAGGCTAGGGAATCACCTCAAGTTGGGGGTGAACATTCCTGAAGATCATAAGTCTGATGTAACCTGAGCCAACAAAGAGTTATGTGCAGGTAAGGACACTCTGAAGTGATCTAGTGGAAGTGGCTGGCTCCCCTTGCTTCATGCTGACTGGTGATTAAGGAAAGCCTTTGATGACAGTGACCACGGTGATCATGATCCTGATGATGACTGAAGCATGATGCTGGGAGAAGGGGGCTAACAAGGGAATGAGGAGGCTCTTCCTGCACCCTAGTGAACAGGCTGACTTTCTGCTTATCTGTGGGCTGTGAATCTCTGCCTTTGCAGATCTGGAGTCAGAGCTGCCACCTAAACAACCAGAAAGAAAGGCATCATTTTACTACAAAAAGCAAACCTCCTGACCCCCACCCTCAATTTTCAGAGGCACAGGCAGCAGAGGCGCTACATCTGGAAATAAGATGGTGAAGGGAGACAGCAGCTCACTGGACAGTGATTCCAGTGAGGGCTAGTTGTCAAGGACTAAGTACAGCAGGGACAAGGAAGCTACCAGGAGCCACTCCCACTGCAAACAGTTCCAAAAATAAGGGAAACTCAACAAGGGCAAGAGGGTGGAGAGAATGGCAAAGAGGTGGGCACAGAGGGCAGCTCCCAAAAAGGACATTGGGGCAGGGATTAGCTGCAAGAGGAGGAGATGGAAAAGATGGAAGTGGAAAGAGCTAGTTCTAGATTAGGGCAAGATCAAGGAATGTGGAGGGTCCTACCCAGCAGCAACACCAAGTCTCTGAAATTAGAACTGCAGGATTGTCCAGGGAGCAGAATCCTTCTACCTTTAGCTGCCTGAAACTTCACCAAGATCTTTATATTTGGGCTTTGGGAACATAGTTACAAGTACATCCCATGCTTGGATTGCCAGACCTCTCCCATGTATAGGTGGGACTATAATCCCAGCTCTGCCACCCCTACACAGTCGAATAAAAAACACCAAAACAGATATCAGTGATATGGATTTGATATTGTGATATAATAAGAAATATATATTTGGTTTTCCTCCTCCAGTTTTGGTACAGCGGGTCCCAGCACAGAGCTCTCAAAACCCTTAGAATTTCCTAAGTGAGCCAGGTGCAGTGGCACATGCCTGTAGTCCCAGTTTCTCAGGAGGCTGAGGTGGGAGGATTGCACCTGTGAATAGCCACGGCACCGAAGACTGGGCAACATAGTGAGACCTCCTCTCTAGAAACAAATTTTTTAATTTAAAAAAATGTTTAAAAAAATTCTTGAGTGTTAAGAGGAGGAGCATCTTTTATAATTTTTAATAAGCCCCTTTCAACCTTACCTGTGTTTATGTTAATGACATGACTCTTCGGAGGATGAAAGCCTGGTTGCCAGAGAAACCAAGCTTCTGATTAGAGGTTTGGAACTTTCAGCCCTCCCACCCTCCACCAGGACTTCAGGAAAGGCAGAGAGACTGGAGATTGACTTAATCAACAATGGTCAATGATTCAATCAACCATGGCTTCATAATAATGCCTCCATAAGCACCTTAAACATGGGGCTTGAGATTCAGAGAGCTTCAGGTGAACACATGGAGGTGCTGGGAGGGTGGCACGCCAGGGAGGGCATGGATGTCCCATGCACTCCTGATTCCCATACTTTGCTTTATGCATCTCTCGCATTTGGTTGTTCTGGTTGTTCCTGAGTTGCATCCTTTATAATAAACCAGTAACAGTAAGCAAAGCAGTTTCCTGAGTTCTGTGAGCCATTCTAGAAATTACTGAACCTGATGGTTCCCATGAGGCATGGGGAAACCCTGATATACAGCCAGTTTGCCAGAAGTATAGGCCACAATTTGAGACTTGCAATTCGTGTGAGGTCTGGATACCAAGTGTCACAATTGGATTGGTAGGACACCCAGCTGGTGTCCAGAGTTGGATAATTGCCTAATAGAAGGAGAAAACTCAAACATTTGGTGTCAGAAGTGCTGAATATTTTTCAAAATGAGTTTTTTATTTTTAGCTTTCTTCCTTGGCTGTTTTTATGCCTGTATTTTCTGCTAAGCCATTTATAAAGGCTTTCATCAATTCCCCAAAGACTCAGTTTTTGCTCCACAAAAGAAAGCACTCAAGAATAATTCCTCAGTGATTAGTATTTGAGAATTAGTTCTTTCATAGTAGGTACCAGAAGGACAGGGAAGAGAAGCAAGTTTCTAGAGCCCCAAGAACCCAACCTCAGCTCAGGGCCCCAAGGAGGAGTTATAGGCATGCTAGAGAGAAAAGGATCAGTTTGAGTGCCCATGGTAGGAATAAGTAGACTGGCACAGAGAATACCATGTTCAGAACCTTCACTGAGAATTACCATTGGTTCGGCAAAAGAAGTTCAAGTCTCGCTTTCTGGTCAGAACTATCTTTCCCAAAGCAATGACTGTTTTTGCTACCATAGCCTGTATTAAAATGAGTATGAGCATGAGAACAGCATAACATTTTTAAAGCAAGAGATGGCAAAGGGAAAAATAATTTCAGCACTGTGCTCCAGATCAGTGTGGCAAAAAACAAATCAACAGATACTCCCAAGCAGCTGAGTCTGCAGGGGAGGAGCTGGTGGCAAAGAACTCCAGCATTGCCTTAGCATCAGCCACAAAAGCTCAATTCACCAGAAACAGGAAGCCCCTGCTTTACCTTAATGCCCACAGGGGGAGACCAGGTAAAGCACCAGTCAATTCTCATCTCGTGTCCATAGAACAAGGGAAGAGGGAATACACCAGCTTTGCCAGATGCACTGGACACATAGCAGGTGTGTCAATGAGGTTATCCTTTTATTTGCCTTTGAGGCTGGGACCAAAGACCACCATCATTACCAAACTGTACTCAGAACAGACTCCAAAAATAACAGTAAAATTTCCTCCTTTTCCCTGGCATCAGGAGAAGTGGGGAATTCCTTTAACATAGGGCCTTCCCATGAATTACTGGTCAATTCTCCTAATATCCTGTCAATGGGCTTGCTAGACGTGAGTAAACTTTGAGCTATAGGTTACCTTTTAGGGTTATTGGCCCTTGCTTCCCATTCACAGCTGCCACATGGTTTACACAATTTTTTTCAGAGACAGGGTCTCCCTCTGTCACCCAGGCTGGAGTGCAGTGGTGTGATCATAGCCCATGGCAGTCTTGAACTCCTGGGCTCAAATGATTCTCCTGCCTCAGCCTCCCAAGTAAATGGGATTATAGGCATGCACCATCATGCCCAGCTGACTTTTTTTTTAAGAGTTTCACTCTTGTTGCCCAGGCTGGAGTGCAACAGCGTTATCTTGGTTCACCACAACCTCTGCCTCCCATGTTCAAGTGATTCTCCTACCTCACTTCTCAAGTAACTGGGATTACAGGCATGTGCCACCACACCTGGCTAATTTTGTATTTTTAGTAGAGACAAGTTTTCTCCATGTTGGTCAGGCTGTTCTCAAACTCCCAACCTCAGGTGATCCACCTGCCTCAGCCTTCCAAAGTTCTGGGATTACAGGCATGAGCCACTACGCCCGGCCTCCAGCTGACTTCTATATTTTTTTTCTTGAGATGAAGTTTCACTCTTGTCACACAGGCTGGAGTGCAGTGGTGCCATCTCTGCTCACCGCAACCTCTGCCTCCCAAGTTCAAGCGATTCTCCTGCCTCAGCCTCCCAGGTAGCTGGGATTACAGGCATTTGCCACCATGCCCAGCTAATTTTGTACTTTTTTAGTAGAGATGGGATTTTTACCACGTTGGCCAGGCTGGTCTCAAACTCCTGACCTCAGGTGATCCACCCATCTCAGCCTCCTAAAGTGCTCGGATTATAGGCGTGAACCACTGCACCTGGCCTGACTTCTATATTCTCAAATCAAGAAGGGACCAAAGACCACCATCAATGGTCTTAAATATGAAGAAGGGGACTCAGAGGTAAGTAGAATGGTGGTTGCCAGAGGCTGGGAAGAGAGGAGATGGAGAGTTACTGTGTAAAGGGTATAGAAGTAGAGTTGCAGTTTTACAAGGTGAAAAGAGTTAGAGATGGATAGTGTTGATAGTTACGCAGTATTACTGAATGTATTTGATACCACTAAACTGTACTTCAAGATGGTTAAGATGGAAAATTTTGTTACATTTTACCACAATAAAAACAATCGAAAAGGGAAAAAAATTAAAAAAAGAAGGGAAAGGAGTGGCAAAAACAGATCATTCTTTGCTCAGTCTTTAAGTGTTTGGCTTCTGGTTTTAGTGTATAGACGTAATTTCTCAGCAATGTAAGCTACTTAAAAGCTATTATTTTATGCAATTCGTGGTTTAAACTTTTAGTGTAACAGTGGTGCTCTCTAGTGACCAGCAGAGTCTTTTCCTTCCCTTGCATTTGATAAACGGAGGGGAGGGAAGAATGTGGTAAGAAGACAGAGCAAGAAGGAAATCTAAGATAGGTCATTTGGGAATCTGGAGCAAAAAAGACCAAGTTTGTTTTCAGAGGGATGTGTACCCAGCACGCTCTCAGCTGGAAGGAGAAAGGGAAGATGAGCACTCTTGCAGGTGCACCCCGGGGGCGGTGACAGCAACACAGAGACAATGTGGGTGGCAAATCAAGGTGAGGGCAAGGTCGGCAGGGGTGGGGAAGGCGGGGTTGGCTTCAGTCTGAAAATTGCTCAGGCAGTGTTAGTTTCTTGTGCCACCACACCATCAATGCAGTTGTTCCACCCCACTCCCTGAGGCCCCCCAGGCTTATATTCACATTTCTCCCAAGAAAAAACATTTGTAGAGGGTAAATGACTCCATTTGTGGATGGGAGGGGGAGGTTTATTGTCGTAATTATTAAACATGCTAAAATCACAGAGTGGCTATTCTATTTTTGCCCTGACTCCAATCCACGGTGGGGCAAATGGGAACTACAGGAGTCACTGGGTTTGTGTGGTCTCTGCGGATGGCTAGACTTGGGAAATAGAGCCAGGCAGGTTAGCAAAGCCCCAAGAATCCTTCATGTAGTACTCTTTTCCCAGCAGTAATGTGTTTCAGAGATTTCCCCTCCTTCGTTTTTTTGTTTTTGTTTTTTTTTTTTTTGAGATGGAGTTTTGGTCTCGTTGCCCAGGCTGGAGTGCAGTGGCACGATCTCGGCTCACCGCAACCTCCACCTCCTGGGTTCAAACGATTCTTCTGCCTCAGCCTCCTGAGTAGCTGGGATTACAGGCATGTACCACTACACCCAGCTAACTTTGTATTTTTAGTAGAGATGGGGTTTCTTCATGTTGGTCAGGCTGGTCTCAAACTCCCCACCTAAGGTGATCCACTCACTTCAGCCTCCCAAAGTGCTGGGATTACAGGTGTGAGCCACTGCACCCAGCCCTGCTTCTTCACTGTTCTTTCCTCCCTCTATCTACCCTACTTCTCATTCCTCTGCCTGTGACCCTGGAACCTCTTCTGCTTCTGCCCCTCATGGTCCTAGACTAGATGATGAGGGAGGCTTTTCCTTGATACCACCATTCCAGTCTCCCTTCCTTGGAACTAATCTATTTAGCATGCACTATGTGGTAAGCTGCTTGATTGAGGTCTGCTTAGGGAGAAAGGGAGGCCCCAGTCCCCACTGTGGCTTAGATCCTGGGAGGGGAAGTTGGAGTTGGTGCAGAAGGATCTGAAAGGGAAAAAAAATGTTACCTGAAATGTGAATGCTGTAACTAACAGAACAGTGCATATGTCCCACCCTCAAGTACCCTACTTTGAAGGCCTTCCCCTCCTTCCCACATTGTGGTTGGGGAGCTCTCTCAGCCTCAGAGCCTATTGTTTAACTCTACAGGGCAGGCATAGCTACTGATCAAAGACCTTATCCCAAGAAGAAACTGTTCCACCCTTAGATAAGTGGCTGCTGATTGAAGTCTTCATCTTCTCCACTTCTCTTGTGCCTCTACTTCTGTGATGGCTTAAGGGGGCCAGATACGAGAATATATAAGGGTTGAACTTGCCTCAAGGAAAGGCTAGAGGGACAAGGGACAAAGATGCATGGGAGTCAGGGCTGTGAAGAAGGGGAGAGAAGGGGCCAGAGTGAAGGTGAAGGACAAGGCTGGCCATTCAGGAGCTGGAATCCTTTTTCCTTTTCTGAAATCGCCGAAACTTGCCCTGAATAGCAAGGGCAGCCTTCTCTGTTTCTGGTGCTGTCAGATCAATGTCAATCTCCTCCTCCTCCTCCGCCTTCTTGGCATTGCCAGCTTTTCCTGCAGATAGTCAGGAGACTCATTAATGAGATAACCTGACCTGCTCCAGCCCCTTTCTCCAGGCCCCCAATACAGTGGGGTGAGGTCCATTTGTGCCAGACTCTGTGGGGTCCCCCAATTTTTGCTAGGACTATGAATGCCTCATAATTCCTCTAGAAGTTTGAGTCAAGGTAGTTAGGCTGGGAATTAGCTATAGTCATTTAGAGGAGTTCTGCTGCTCTTGAAACAAACAACAAATGTCTTCTTTTATCACTTATTCATAAATCGTACAGTTCAAGTCCCAAAGCCCACTCACTTTTCTCAGTTTCCCTCAATTTCTGATGGAGATAACACTGGGACTTTTGTTAAGTTTCTTCTTATCTTACGCCCCTCTCCCCCAACACTCCAGACCCAGTTTCTAAAATCGAAGAGTAAATACTATAGGTTTACTTACTAGGAAAATAGAAGGAAGCCTATAGATACAGTACTATAGTTCTAACCTAGTCCTTTGTTTCACTTATCCGTCTTCTTATTCCTTTAATGCCTGACTTTAGGAAATTCCAGACTCTTTCAACTTGTCTTCATGTCTCAACAGTTACCTGCTCTATAAATAGCCTGGCCCAACCCTACTCACCTTTTTCCTCTGGGCCAGCTGCCTGGTTGGTTGCTGGGGATGTTTCGGTATTAAGCTGGAAAAAAAAATCAGAATATCAGAATATTAGATATTCATGGGAGTATTTTGAAGGTGCCATCACCTTAGACCTCTTATATACTCTCAACCCCTCCTATTACCAGGTGCATTCCCTGTGAGTCTGGAGATCAGAGACCAGATGAAAAGTCATCAAAATTTATTCAACAAAGATTTATTGATGCTAGAAAGTGTAGAGGACATAACACAAAGAAATTCCGCCCTCATGGAGCTTACATTCCAGTATATACAGAGACAATTAAATAAAGCACATAAAATGACTACTATGGTAAGTGCTATGGAGAAAAGGGAGGGAAAGGAGGTAGTAAGTACTGGGGTGGAAATGGAAGAATACAGTTTTACACAGAGTAGTCAGGAAAAGCTTCTCTGAAAAGCAGCATTTGACCAAAGAGCTGAAGGAGATGAGGAAGTAAGGCTCACAGATATCTGGCAGGAGTTTTCAAGAGCTCTGGGTTGGAAGTGTGACTAGCCTGTTCACGGAATAGCAGACCAGTGTAGCTGGAGTGGAGAGAGGAAGGAGGAAAGATTAATGGAGATGAGAACATAGTTAACTGGGGTGGAAGCAGATTACATAGGGCTTTAGAAGTGTTTTTAAGGAGTCTGACTGTTACTACAAGTGGGATGAGAAGTCACTGGAGACCTCTGATTCACATAAAAGGGAAATGAGAAAAGAGGCAGAAAAGTCTATTAAGAGGGTATTGCAGAAAACCAAGCAAGAAACCATGGTAGCTTGAATCAGCATGGTGGCGGTGAAGAATGGTAAATGACTGGATTCTGGGTATATTTTCCAGCTATGACCAACATGATTAGTTGACTTGAAAAATAGCATTGTGAAAAAGAGAAGGGTCAAGGATGATTCCAAATTTTGGCCTGATGATCTGAAAAAAATAGAGTTGCCATTTCCTGAGATGTAGAGAAAAGGGAGAGGAGGTTTTAGGGGGGAGAATCAGGAGCTTATTTTTAACAACTTTGAGATGACTATTAATTATCCAAGAAAAATGCTTTTATAAACAATTGAATATTTGAGTTAAAAAAGAAGGTCATGGGCTACAGATATAAATTAGGGAGCTATTGGTATATGGATAGCTTTTAAAGCCCTGAGACTGAATGGGATCACCAAGAGAGTGAGTTCAGATGGCGAAGAGGATCAAATCCTAAGGCATCCCACTGATTTGAATTGCAGAAATGAAGAAAAATCAACACGATGGAGAAGAGCCAGGTAGGAGAAAAGCCAAGAGATTACAGTAATGTAGAAGCCATGTGAAGAAAATATTTCAGGGAGTAGAGAATGACTATGTCTAATTCTGCAGGTAAGCCAAGTAAGATGAGAACTGGATTGACCATTGAGTTTTGCTGTGGGGAGATCACTGGTGGCATTGATAAGATAAGTTTCCATGAAGGAGGGGAGAAAGAGGAGGGCATGATTGTAATGGGCTCAAGAGGGTAAAGGAAGAGAGAAATTGCAACAGCAAATATAGACATAATTCCAAAAACGGGGATGGGAGTGTAGCATTTGGTGGATATGGGGTCACAAGATCTTATTTAAGGTGACAGAATTACAAAATGTTTGTATTCTTATGGAAATGATCCAGTAGGCAAGTAAAAACAGTAGGAGAGAAGGAGAATCATTACTGTAATAGGAGAGAGGCATCAGTAGATGGCTGGCCCTGAATAGGAGCCAGACTAGAATACCCAAAGGAACTGGAGGGAGGGCAGAGCTTAGGGGCCCAGGTGTAAGCACAGGGAACATTTGGAGGGTCTCCCTAATTGCTTCTATTTTTTGAAGTAAAATGTGTAACAAAGTCATCATCCAAGAGGAGGAAGAAAGAAGTATTAAAGGAAGAAAGGTAGAAAGAAGGTATAAAATACTAATCTAGGAGAGCAGGAGAGTAAATGGACTAGGGAACAGTGATAGGGTTGCTGGGGACGTTAAGGCCCCTCATAAGGCAGGAGATCATGAATTTGAAGTGAGACTAATCAGGTGATATGTATGCTTCCCTGCTCAGATGGAAAGTTAAATTAAACGTAATAGTAAGGTCAGGTACAGTGGCATACAGCTATAGTCTCAGCTACTGGGGAGGATCCCTTGAGTCCAGGACTTCATGGACAGTCTGGCAAGACATAGAAAGACCATAGCTCTTTAAAAAAAAAAAAAAAAGTAATTCTCCTTCCTCAGAATCATATTAATAAGGCTACTTCATCTGGACATTCATCGGTCTCAAAGTATGTTATATCTGCAGACAGAGTCACTCCTGAACTTGGTGCCTTTGGAGCCTGTTTATTCATTTCACAATCTTGAGTACTTTATATTTAACAAAATACAAAAACAGGGTACTTTCATAAAGATTTTCTCATCTAATTCATGGAACAGCTTAGTGCAGTATTTAGGATTATCCCCCATTTTACAGGTGTAAACCTTTGCTGAATGACTGCCAGATATAAGGGTTCTGCTTTAAGAAACTGATGGAATCCAATTTATGTTCTGTAGATTATGCTGTTTCCACCCCATTTCAATGCTTATCAAGCACTTACTTGTGTTCAGCACTCTTCTATATGCTAAAGAGGTATAAAAGAAGCAAAAGATTCATTCAACAAGTATCTCGGTTCCTAATCACATGCCAAGTATTATTGTAGGCAGTGGGCATACAGCAGTGAGCAAAAGAAAGTCCCTGCACTCATTCAACAAATACATCAGTTAGCAAAATATCATAAAAGAAAATAAAGCAGAGTAGTCAAGTCTCTCTGAAGACTGACATTTGAGTAGAGGTTTTAATGATATATGAGAATAAACTATGTAAATGTCTTGGAAAAGATCTTCTGGGCAGATGAAATATCACTAGAAAGTCCCTGAAGCAGGTTTGTGCCTGCATGTTCAAGGAAGAGCAAAAAAAACCATCATGGGCCAGCTACAGTGGCTCACAGCTGTAATCTCAGCACCTGGGGAGGCCAAGGTGGGTGGATTGTTTGGGTCCAGGAGTTCAAGACCAGCCTGGGTAACAAGGTGAAATCCAATCTCTACAAAAATTAACCAACATGGTGGCATGTACTTGTGGCCCCAGCTACTCAGGAGGCTGAGGTGGGAGGATCACTTGAGCCTGGAAGACAGAGGTTGCAGTGAGCTGAGATCGTGCCACTGCATTTCCAGTTGAGTAACAGAGTGAGAGAACTGGAAGGGTAGAGGAAAGAGAAAGGGAGACTATCATGGCTAAAGCTATGTAAGGGAGAGAATATAAGAAATGAAGTTAGGTAGATAGCCAGAATATATGTCTTTAGAACAGGGCAAATAACTTATATTTTTTTCTAAGTTGATGAAAGGGCATTATACATTTTGGGGCAGAGGAAAACGTGATCTGTCATATTTTTAAAGGACTGTTCTGACAGATGGGTAGAAAAGACTGACTGGGTATGGTGGCTCATGCCTATAATCCCAGTACTTTGGGAGGCTGAGGTGGGAGGATCACTTGAGTCCAGGAGTTCATGACGAGCCCAGGACTTCATGACAAGCCCAGGCAACATAGCAAGACCCCCATCTTTATGGAAAGAAAGAAAGAGAGAGAGAGAGAGAGAGAGAGAATAAATAGAGGAGCAAGAGAGAAACCAGGGAAAACAATTAAGAGGGTTTTGCAGCTAGGTGCAGTGGCTCATGCCTGTAATCCCAGCACTTTGGGAGGCCAAGGTGGGTGGATCACAAGGTGAGGAGTTCAACACTAGTCTGACCAACATGGTGAAACCCTGTCTCTACTAAAAATACAAAAATTAACTGGGTATAGTGGTGCGTGCCTGTAATCCTAGCTACTCAGGAGACTGAGGGAGGAGAATTGCATGAACCCAGGAGGTGGAGGTTGCACTGAGCAACCTGCCACTGCACTCCAGCCTGGGTGACAGAGCACGACTCTATCTTGAAGAAAAAAAAAAGTCGGGGGTGGGGGGACATCTTGCAGTGGTACAAACAAGCAAGATGATGGGGCTTGGACTCGGGTGGTGGTGATGAAGATAATAGGAAGTATTAAAACTTCAAATAAGTTGGATCTGCCCATATATTTTTGAGTAGAGAGAGCTCTATCAAAGAGCCTTTCTTTAAAGGGCAGCAGAGAAATTGGACATTAGTTGGAGATGAATGTGGGGTTATGAGAGTTTTATAAGATGGGAGATTTTAAATGCTGATGGAAACAATTTAGTAGGGAAGAAAAAAAACTGATGATGCAGGAGAGGGGACAATTACCAGAGTGATGTCTTGAATGGACATGAGGAAATAAATCTCCCCAGTAGCTGGGATTACAGTTGCCCACCACCATGCCCAGCTAATTTTGTGTTTTTGGTAGAGACGGGGTTTCACCATCTTGACCAGGCCAGTCTTGGACTCCTGACCTCAAATGATCAGCCCGCCTCAGCCTCTCCGAGTGCTGCTTTATAGACGTGAGCCACGGTGCCTGGCCAGGTCATACTTTTGCAGTGTGGACAAACCTCTTGTGATGATAGTGTTCCTGTGGGAGGTGTTATCTCACACAGGATCTGCCCGTATATTTTTGAGTAGAGAGAGCTCTATCAAAGAGCCTTTCTTTTTGCATAAGTGGAGGGGTTGCCCTTAGATAGGTATATAGACACTTTACCTACAATATAGGAATGAAGGCATAGATGCAGGAAAGGTAGCAGATGTAGAAATGTACAGAAGTTTTCTTTTTTGTTGTTGTTGTTGTTTTGTTTTGTTTTGTTTTTGAGACGGAGTTTCACTGCTGTTACCCAGGCTGGAGTGCAATGGCGTGATCTCAGCTCACCGCAACCTCCGCCTCCTGGGTTCAGGCAATTCTCCTGCCTCAGCCTCCTGAGTATCTGGGATTACAGGCATGCACCACCATGCCCAGCTAATTTTTTGTATTTTTAATAGAGACGGGGTTTCACCATGTTGACCAGGATGGTCTCGATCTCTTGACCTCGTGATCCACCCGCCTTGGCCTCCCAAAGTGCAGAAGTTTTCTTCTG